ACGAGGGAATTGAGTCATTTTGCATTTACCTGATCTTTTTAGCAGGAAAGTTGTGACTTGGGAGCTACCACTCGACCCCTGCTAACTCACGGAGACCTGATCACCACCTACAAAATTCTGAGCCATTAGAAAGAACTTCTTCAGTGTCAGAGTAGTTAACAAATGGAATGCATTAGGAAGTGATGTTGTGGAGGCTGACTCCATACACAGTTTCAAATGTAGATATGATAGAGCCCAGTAGGCTCAGGAACCTGTATACACCAATTGATTGACAGTTGAGAGGCGGGACCAAAGAGCCAGAGCTCAACCCCCGCAAGCACAACTACCTGCCGGCTGGGGGCTACAACCCCCCTGTTGCAATGCTGGTGATGCAACCTCCCCTCCACAGCTCCCCAAGCTCATGCATTTTCATGGGCCCCAGACAGCAACGAGGAGAGAGGGGAGAGAGAGAGAGAGAGAGAGAGAGAGAGAGAGAGAGAGAGAGAGAGAGAGAGAGAGAGAGAGAGAGAGAGAGAGAGAGAGAGAGAGAGAGAGAGAGAGAGAGAGAGAGAGAGAGAGAGAGAGAGAGAGAGAGAGAGAGAGAGAGAGAGAGAGAGAGAGAGAGAGAGAGAGAGAGAGAATGGGAATAAGGAGAGGGGGTGAACAAGCGAGCGATGACGGGTGTTAAGGGGGGAGAAAGAGAGCGTAAAGGGAATACCGAATAAATGGAGGAAGATTAAGGCAGGGGGGAAAGGGTGAGTTGAAAATAGAACAGAGGGAGAGGAACATTGACATTTGCAAGGTAGAAATTGATGCCTAGAGTAGAAGTGAGGTATGGGGGGGGGGAGGGTCTGGCCACACCCGCAGGTGTGTGAGAGTCAGCTGTTCATCACATATATAAATGAGCAGTTCAAAGAGTCAGGTGTGTGAGAACAGTCACTATATAACCCCCGGAAAACTGTTCGGTTCAGCTCTCTGTCTGTGTTCTCTGAGCACATATGTGTGTTCTCTGAGCACAGGTGTGTGTTCTCTGAGCACAGGTGTGTGTTCTCTGAGCACATATGTGTGTTCTCTGAGCACAGGTGTGTGTTCTCTGAGCACAGGTGTGTGTTCTCTGAGCACAGGTGTGTATTCTCTGAGCACATGTGTGTGTTCTCTGAGCACAGGTGTGTGTTCTCTGAGCACAGGTGTGTGTTCTCTGAGCACATGTGTGTATTCTCTGAGCACAGGTGTGTGTTCTCTGAGCACAGGTGTGTATTCTCTGAGCACATGTGTGTGTTCTCTGAGCACAGGTGTGTGTTCTCTGAGCACATATGTGTGTTCTCTGAGCACAGGTGTGTGTTCTCTGAGCACAGGTGTGTGTTCTCTGAGCACAGGTGTGTATTCTCTGAGCACATGTGTGTGTTCTCTGAGCACAGGTGTGTGTTCTCTGAGCACAGGTGTGTGTTCTCTGAGCACATATGTGTGTTCTCTGAGCACAGGTGTGTGTTCTCTGAGCACATATGTGTGTTCTCTGAGCACAGGTGTGTGTTCTCTGAGCACAGGTGTGTGTTCTCTGAGCACAGGTGTGTGTTCTCTGAGCACAGGTGTGTATTCTCTGAGCACATGTGTGTGTTCTCTGAGCACAGGTGTGTTCTGAGCACAGGTGTGTTCCCTCAGCACAGGTGTGTTCTCCAAACACAGTTGACAGATGTGTTGTGTTCTCTAACGACACCTGTGCTCTTTAATGACAACTGTGCTATCTAATGACACCTGTGTTCTCTAATGACACCTTTGTTCTCTAATGACACCTTTGTTCTCTAATTACAGGTACGTGTAGCAGGCACGTCAAAGGGGGACAATCTCGGGTGATGTACTGCTAATTATGTGTAATTATAGTCATTATAATTCTAGACATTATAATTATAGACATTATAGCTTTCTTAGATATCTTAGGATTTCTGATAATAACTATATTGTACAAAGGAATGGATTAGAGTAAATATTTTTTTTTTATTAGGATTGGTTGTAAGTGCGTTCGTGTGTGTGTGTGTGTGTGTGTGTTCGTTTTAGCGTGAGATGAGTGTTTGTGTGGGTGTGAGTGCGTGTGTGTGTGTGTACGTTTTTGTGAGTGCATTATTGCACTCTCAGGTTATGGCCCTTGTTTGCCACTTTTGAGTGTGAGTGTGTGTTGTCTCCTGTGAGTGTGTGTTGTCTCCTGTGAGTGTGTGTTGTCTCCTGTGAGTGTGTGTTGTGTCCTGTGAGTGTGAGTTGTCTGTGAGTGTGTGTTGTCTCCTGTGAGTGTGTGTTGTGTCCTGTGAGTGTGTGTTGTCTCTGTGAGTGTGTGTTGTGGTCGTGTGAGTGTGTGTTGTGTCCTGTGAGTGTGTTTGTGTGTGAGTGTGTGTTGTGTCCTGTGAGTGTGAGTTGTCTCCTGTGAGTGTGTGTTGTGAGTGTGTGTGTTGTGTCCTGTGAGTGTGTGTTGTGTCCTGTGAGTGTGTGTTGTCTCCTGTGAGTGTGTGTTGTGTCCTGTGAGTGTGTGTTGTGTCCTGTGAGTGTGTGTTGTGTCCTGTGAGTGTGTGTTGTGTCCTGTGAGTGTGTGTTGTGTCCTGTGAGTGTGTGTTGTGTCCTGTGAGTGTGTGTTGTGTCCTGTGAGTGTGTGTTGTGTCCTGTGAGTGTGTGTTGTCTCCTGTGAGTGTGTTGTCCACTGTAAATGTGTTGTCTCCTGTACAGTGGGTTCGCCTAGAAGGACCATGGGACAGCCCTCTCGTGTTAGTAAACGCTGGTTGTAATGAATTTGATTTTCTATTTAATAGACCTGGATAATCAGAGATAATGGAGCACTAAGCAGGTAAGGCCAAGGTTAACCCTTGAGTGACACACCACACACTTGAGCCTTACCTCTCTGGTTGAGGGCTAACATTACAGTACTCATTTAGGCTATGGAATGGGATTGAACTCTCGTATTTTGGGGGTGTACAACCCCCCCCCAATGTGGGGACTTCACGGGGGAAAAATTCGAAACTTTGTATTGTGATAAGTCTTTATTTTTTACAAGTCCGAGTTCAATCGCTTTTGAACAAATGTGTTTAAACATTTTTTATAAATATTGTTGTTAAAAACGTTCTGTTATTCGTTTTATGTTGAATAAAATGTAACACATACGACCTCTGGTCCACATTTTAAACGTTTGCTACATATGTTTAGTGATTGTATTTGCATGGTTGCAAACACTGATTTTGTCCGGGAGTGGAAATGATCGCTGATTGGCAGGAGAAGGTCGCTGAAAATTGATTGTGAGATTTAACATGGTTCCCTGTGGGGCTGATTGTGAGGCTGATTGTGGGGCTGATTGTGAGGCTGATTGTGAGGCTGATTGTGGGGCTGATTGTTAATTCTTGTTGTTGAATGGTCAGATCACATGACCCTGTATGCAGGCGAGGAGTCACAATAACGTGGCTGAAGAATGTTGACCAGACCACACACACTAGAAGGTGAAGGGACGACGACGACGTTTCGGTCCGTCCTGGACCATTCTCAAGATCGACTTGAGAATGGTCCAGGACGGAGCGAAACGTCGTCGTCCCTTCACCTTCTAGTGTGTGGTCTGGTCAACGACCCTGTATGGCTAACCACCCTGTGTGACGGGAAGCTATAGCACTAATACACAGCTTGGTTGATCAGACAGCCAATCAGAAGCTGCTAGGTTTAGGGGTCAGGGCTGAAGGGATAACATATCTTGATCCTTAGCAGGAATTCAACTAAATTCAACTTTGTCGTACAAGCAGTTAACACACTGTCCTCCGGCGGCAGGTCTTGTACCCAACTGTACCCTACTGTACCGTACTGTAAACAGTAAAATAGGTACCTGGGTGTTAGTCAGCTGTCACGGGCTGCTTCCTGGGGGTGGAGGCCTGGTCGAAGACCGGGCCGCAGGCCACTAAAGCCCCGAAATCATCTCAAGATAACCTCAAGAAGTTACTGTACCGTACCCTACACAGCATCAGCCCAAGCTCCTTACCTGTTGAGGTTATCTTGAGGTTATCTTGAGGTTATCTTGAGGTTATCTTGAGATGATTTCGGGGCTTTTTAGTGTCCCCGCGGCCCGGTCCTCGACCAGGCCTCCACCCCCTGGACGCAGCCCGTGACAGCTGACTAACACCCAGGTACCTATTTTACTGCTAGGTAACAAGGGCATATGGTGAAAGAAACTCTGCCCATTGTTTCTCGCCGGCGCCCGGGATGGAACCCAGGACCACAGGATCACAAGTCCAGCATGCTGTCCGCTCGGCCGACCGGCTCCCAACCTCGACAACCTCCTCTGACTACATACAACCGTCAGGGATCCTCCGAACTTTTAAGGGACTCGAACCAAGCCTCCTAACCTAAAGACCACCTTTAAGCCGACCCCAATCCCCAGTACCCGCACTCAGCCCTAAGATCTGACCGGAAAATGGCCCACCGGAAAATGGCCCACCTGAAAATGGCCCACCGGAAACTGGCCCACCGGAAAAAGGCCCACCGGAAAATGGCCCACCGGAAAATGGCCCACCGGAAAATGGCCCACCGGAAAATGGCCCACCGGAAAATGGCCCACCTGAAAATGGCCCACCGGAAAATGGCCCACTGGAAAATGGCCCACCGGAAAATGGCCCACCGGAAAATGGCCCACCGGAAAATGGCCCACCGGAAAATGGCCCACCGGAAAATGGCCCACCGGAAAATATACAACCTCCCTGTTGGCTATTAGCCAAGTGCCAGAGCGAGGTGTTAATTAGGGCAATCCAATTAGCAAGGCTGCATCTTATTAGGTCTCTCGCTCTCGTGTTTGCGTCGAGAACTGGAGCGCGGAAGCGTTTGGGGAGTGTTTTAAGATGCGTTTTGTCAGGCGGTCGTCTGGTTCGCGCCGTTCCGGTACTCTGTTTATGCGTTTTTTTTTTTTTGAGGCGGAAGCGGACTCTGTTTTGGTTCCATTTTTTGATTTTTTTAGCATAAAATTCGTCGGTTTTACACTGGTTTTTCATGTAATTATGAGATCTATCATTATGGGAGACATTTATCGACAAAAGGTTATTGTAGGTAAAGGTAAATTCAGATTTTTAATGGATTAGAAATTAGTTGCTTGGGGGTCCGTCCCTTCTCTCTATTCTATATCCCAGCTCCTTGTCCTCATATCCCAGCTCCTTGTTCTCATAATCCCAGCTCCTTGTCCTCATATCCCAGCTCCTTGTCCTCATATCTCCAGCTCCTTGTCCTCATATCCCAGCTCCTTGTTCTCATAATCCCAGCTCCTTGTCCTCATATCCCAGCTCCTTGTTCTCATAATCCCCAGCTCCTTGTCCTCATGTCCTAGCTCCTTGTTCTCATATCCCCTGCTCCTTGTCCTCATATCCCAGCTCTTTGTCCTCATATCCCAACTCCTTGTCCTCATATCCCCTGCTCCTTGTCCTCATATCCCAGCTCTTTGTCCTCATATCCCAGCTCCATGTCCTCATATCCCAGCTCTTTGTCCTCATATCCCCTGCTCCATGTCCTCATATCCCCTGCTCCTTGTCCTCATATCCCAGCTCTTTGTCCTCATATCCCAGCTCCATGTCCTCATATCCCAGCTCTTTGTCCTCATATCCCCTGCTCCATGTCCTCATATCCCAGCTCCTTGTCCTCATATCCCAGCTCCATGTCCTCATATCCCAGCTCCTTGTCCTTATATCCCAGCTCCTTGTCCTCATATCCCAGCTCCATGTCCTTATATCCCAACTCCTTGTCCTCATATCCACAGCTCCTTGTTCTCATATCCTAGCTCCTTGTCCTCATATCCCAGCTCCTTGTCCTCATATCCCAGCTCCTTGTCCTCATATCCCCAGCTCCTTGCCCTCATATCCCAGCTCCTTGCCCTCATATCCCAGCTCCTTGTCCTCATATCCGAGCTCCTTGTCTTCATATCCCCAGCTCCTTGTCCTCATATCCCAGCTCCTTGTCCTCATATCCCAGCTCCTTGTCCTCATATCCCCAGCTCCTTGCCCTCATATCCCAGCTCCTTGCCCTCATATCCCAGCTCCTTGTCCTCAAATCCCAGCTCCTTGTTTTCATATCCCCAGCTCCTTGTCCTCATATCCCCAGCTCCTTGCCCTCATATCCCAGCTCCTTGTCCTCATTTCCTAGCTCCTTGTCCTCATATCCCAGCTCCTTGTCCTCATATCCCAGCTCCTTGTCCTCATATCCCAGCTCCATGTCCTCATATCCCAGCTCCTTGTCCTCATATCCCCAGCTCCTTCTCCTCATATCCCAGCTCCATGTCCTCATATCCCAGCTCCTTGTCCTCATTTCCCCAGCTCCTTGTCCTCATATCCCAGCTCCTTGTCCTCATATCCCAGCGCCTTGTCCTCATATCCCAGCTCATTGTCCTCATATCCCAGCTCCTTGTCCTCATACCCCAGCTCCTTGTCCTCATATCCCAGCTCCTTGTCCTCATATCCCAACTCCTTGTCCTCATATCCCAGCTCCTTGTCCTCATATCCCCAGCTCCTCCTCATATCCCAGCTCCTTGTCCTCATATCCCAGCTCCTTGTCCTCATATCCCAACTCCTTGTTCTCATATCCCTTCCAAGTGCTAGAATCACTCTGGCTTTACACTTTCTCATAATTTAATTTAATTAATCATTTTAAAAATTAATTATTGCATGGTGGATGTTAATCTTCGTTTCAATTTAGGTTAATTACCTCTTTGGAAAAAAATATAAGTACGGTTAACAGATTAGATTTACCTGAATAAATCTAATCAGTCGATTCAGTCTCTATTTCATCTCTGTCTTGACGCTATCAACCCCACAACGTCTAAATTCCGGTGCTTCAGTGACATTAGAAGCACCGCGAAACTGACGCAACTTCGGAGGAGGGAACGACTGGCTCCATACGTTAAAGTTTGTACGCTTGTGGTTAGGCTAAAGCACTTGAAGGTCCCTCATCACTTTAAAGGCCTAAAAGTGAAAAACGGTTTACACACGACTCACAACTGCTGACATCCGAACACTTCCGGAACAAGTGCTTCACTGACGACTGGTGTTCGAACCACAACGCTGTAAATGCTTCACCCACGGACTACAAATACAAATAATCCCCAACACAACCTTAACACCTAACCTAACCTAACCTAACCTAACCTAACCTAACCTAACCTAACCTAACCTATGCCTAACTATACATAGAATTTTTTTTTATGTATGATATTTATATATGAGGAATTTTTTTTTTTAATCAATGTTAAAATTGATGAATGCGTCTGGGGAGGACGGCCGCTGCTTTAACCAGCCTAGTGTGAGGACGGCCGCTGCTTTAACCAGCCTAGTGTGAGGACGGCCGCTGCTTTATCCAGCCTAGTGTGAGGACGGCCGCTGCTTTAACCAGCCTAGTGTGAGGACGGGTTGTGTGGGTAGGACGGCCGCTGCTTTAACCAGCCTAGTGTGAGGACGGGTTGTGTGGGTAGGACGGCCGCTGCTTTAACCAGCCTAGTGTGAGGACGGGTTGTGTGGGTAGGACGGCCGCTGCTTTAACCAGCCTAGTGTGAGGACGGGTTGTGTGGGTAGGCCGGCCGCTGCTTTAACCAGCCTAGTGTGAGGACGGGTTGTGTGGGAAGGACGGCCGCTGCTTTAACCAGCCTAGTGTGAGGACGGGTTGGGAACTGCTCCACCACACACAGTGTAACTATATCATTGTCATCAAGAACAAAACCTCTAAAGTGACTGTTCACTCAATTAAAATATTTATGCTAATTATTTTTGTTTTAATGTTCTTTATGGTTACAAAGTGTGTTAAAATTGACGAATTACGTCTTTGGGGTCGGCCGCTGCTTGGACGAGCCTTGCGTGAGGACGGGTTGGGGTCGGCCGCTGCTTGGACGAGCCTTGCGTGAGGACGGGTTGGGGTCGGCCGCTGCTTGGACGAGCCTTGCGTGAGGACGGGTTGGGGTCGGCCGCTGCTTGGACGAGCCTTGCCTGGGGGACGGGTTGGGGTCGGCCGCTGCTTGGACGAGCCTTGCGTGAGGACGGGTTGGGGGTCGGCCGCTGCTTGAACGAGCCTCGCCTGGGGGGACAGGTTGAGCCCCGTTCTCTTGATTCATCACTCCGTAAAAAAAACAACTATTGTACCTCACTAAGAAACGGCAGATCCCAGACATCTTTCCCTATACCTATCAGCCCGCTGATGTGCATAAAACGTTACAATTACGGTGCTTTAATGGTTTTCTTTATTCGTCGCGTTCTTTACGAGTTTCGTCGATTCCGTAACAAAATGCGACGTACAGAATGAGAGCACAAGACTCACGGCGATACTGGGCTCCGGAACTTATAACTTGGGCTCCGGAACTTATAACTTGGGCTCCGGAACTTATAAATTGGGCTCCGGAACTTATAACTTGGGCTCCGGAAGTTATAACTTGGGCTCCGGAACTTATAACTTGGGCTCCGGAACTTATAACTTGGGCTCCGGAAGTTATAACTTGGGCTCCGGAACTTATAACTTGGGCTCCGGAAGTTATAACTTGGGCTCCGGAACTTATAACTTGGGCTCCGGAACTTATAACTTGGGCTCCGGAAGTTATAACTTGGACTCGAGAATGAGCTTTAAGACCGGGGTGGGGGGGGGGTGATGTGACTGAGATGGGGGTGGCCTGGTTATCTCAGTCACGGGACAGTTTCTCCGTATTATTCCTGTCCTTTACTCGTTGTTCCTTCAAAAAAAATAGACAGTTAGAAATGCGGGGCCCAAGAGCTAATAGTTCGATTCTGCAGGCATAAAAAGCAAACCCACACAGACACCCACACACGCACACACAAGACTCAACCCAAATTGCTGCACAGCCACATCAGGAGGAAAACAACAGTGAAGGAACAGGTAATGAAACTAAGGATAGGGGCAGACAGATTCATTACAAACGACAAGGAAGTGTGCGAGGAACTCAGTAAGAAATTCAAGGAGGTCTTCACATCAGAGTAAGGAGATATCCCAGAGATAAGATAGGGACTAGTTAACCAGACACCATTAGAGGAGTTTGTGATTACCAGTGGGGAGGTGCGGAAGCATCTGCTAGATTTAGACGTGACAAAGGCTATAGGCCCAGATGGAATCTCACCATGGATATTAAAGGAAGGAGCAGAAGAACTGTGCCTGCCACTCTCCCATAGTGTATAACAACTCACTGGTAACAGGTGAATTGCTAAAAATTGAGAAGACGGCCAATGTAGTCCCAATATACAAGAATGGTGATAGACAGGAGGCACTGAACTACAGGCCAGTGTCCCTAACCTGCATACCATGCAAGGTGATGGAGAAGATTGTGTGAAGAAAGCTAGTGGAGCATCTGGAGCGAAAGAACTTTGTAACACAGCATCAACATTGGTTCAGTGATGGCAAATCATGCCTCACAGGGTTAATTGAATTCTACGACCAGGTAACACAAATCAGGCAAGATAGAGTGGGGTGGGCAGACTGCATATTCATGGATTGCCAGAAAGCCTTTGACACAGTACCACATAAGAGACTAGTGCACAAGCTGGAGATGCAGGCAAGAGTGAAAGGGAAGGTACTCCATTGGATAAGGGAGTACCTAAGCAACAGAAGACAGCGAGTCACTGTGAAGAGGGAGATCTCGGAGTGGCGAGGCGTCACCAGTGGAGTCCCACAGGGATCAGTCTTTGAACCTATACTGTTTCTGATATATGTGAATGATCTCCCAGAGGGAATAGACTCGTTCCTCTCAATGTTTGCTGATGATGCAAAAATTATGAGGAGGATTAAGACAGAAGAAGATAGTAGGAGGCTACAAGGTGACCTAGACAGACTGAAGGAATGGTCCTAAAAATGGCTACTAAAGTTCAACCCAAGTAAATGTAAGGTAATGTAACTAGGCAGTGGAAACAGGAGGCCAGACACTGGATGCAGAATGGGAGATGAAGTCTTTCATGAAACGGACAGAGAGAAAGATCTAGGAGTTGATATCACACCAAACCTGTCTCCTGAAGCCCACATCAAAAGAATAACATCGGCGGCGTATGCGAGGCTGGCTAACATCAGAACAGCCTTCAGGAACC